GTGTTAAATTTTAGTGTGTACAATTACTTGTAATTAAATTGTCTTATATGTTGTGGTTGTTTATGAATTTTTATGTATTTGTTATCTTGTAAGGGTTAACTTTGAAGATGTACATTTCTATAATGACATTAAACTTTTACATAATTGAAATTTGATATAATAACAACATGAAATCACATGACTTTAAAATACCCAATTTGTTGACATTGCATCAAAGAGTATGCTATTATAGTGATTTGGATCATAGGACATGGATTGTGTGATTAGTATAATTTATGTGCGCATGTGAAGTGCAATTTGGGTATATCAATTGATAAATGGTAGAAAAAGTTATCTTTCTTTCATATATCTCAAGGGTATTTATACAGAATACATAGACCCATTCAAGGTAAGTCAACTATACAATTAATTTGACAACTAATACCCGCTAACTCCTAATAGATAACAGCTATAACTCTTAATAGATAACAGCTGTATATTCAGCTGTACATTCAGTTGTAACTCTTAATAGATAACAGCTGTACACACTAACTCTCCCCCTCAAGTTGGTGCATAGATATTGCACATGCCCAACTTGGATAGTGATGTATGAAATGAGCCACTAGTAACACCATGAATCAACATATTAGCCAGCTGGTTTGCACTCTTAATGTAAGGAACCTCTATCACACCAAAATCCAGGTTATCCTTGATGTAGTTTCGGTCAAGTTCAATATGCTTAGTTCGATCATGTTGCACTGGATTATTAGCAATATCAATAGCTATCATATTATCACACAAAATCAATATAGGTTTCTTTGGACCAAACCCAAACTCACTTAAGAGAATCTTCGACCATGTAAGCTCCGTAACTGCATGATGAAGAGCACGATATTCAGCTTCTGCACTAGACAACGATACCACATTCTGTTTCTTACTCCTCCAGGTCACCAAATTGAGAGGTACAAGGCTAGACTAGTTGCCAAGGGATACACTCAGACTTATGGGATTGATTATCAAGAGACCTTCGCTCCTGTGGCCAAGATGAACACTGTTCGAGTTATACTCTCTCTCGCAGTTAATTTGGACTGGCCATTACAATAGTTTGATGTGAAGAATGCCTTCCTTTATGGTGATTTGATAGAGGAGGTGTATATGGATCCTCCCTCGGGGTTTACACCTGAAGGAGGTAAGGTATGCAAGCTAAAGAAGGCTTTATATGGATTGAAACAATCACCAAGAGCATGGTTTGGCAGGTTGAGCTACTCAATGAAGAAGTATGGTTTTAAGCAAGCTTTGGCAGATCACACTCTCTTCTATAAGAGGAATGGTGATGATATTACTTTGCTTATCATTTATGTGGATGACATGATTGTTACAGGTAGCAACACCAATGAGATAGAGAAGCTTCGGAGCTATTTGGCCAAGGAATTTGAAATGAAGGACTTGGGGGCTCTGAAATACTTTCTGGGCATTAAAGTGTCTCGGTCCAGGTAAGGACTTTTTCTCTCTCAACGTAAGTATACATTAGATCTCTTGATTGAAACTGGTAACTCTGTGTGTGTTCCTATAGACACTCCTATTGAAGTAAATCATGGCTTAGCTATCTATCCTGATCAGATTCTGACAAATAAGGAGAGATATCAGAGACTAATGGGGAAGTTGATTTGTCTGACTCATACTAGGCCTGACTTGTCGTATGCAGTTAGTGTTGTGAGTCAATTCATGCACAATCCGAGTGACCGACATATGAATGCAGTGAATCGTATTTTGGCTTATCTAAAGTCCTCTCTAGGTAAAGGTATTATGTTCTCCAGGCATGGACACCTAGACATTGTGGGTTATACACATTTTGATTTTGCGGGAGCCAAGTTGGATAAGAAGTCTACTTCAGGGTATGTGTCATTCGTTGGAGGCAATTTGGTTACCTGGAGGAGTAAGAAACAGAATGTGGTATTGTTGTCTAGTGCAGAAGCTGAATACCGTGCTCTTCATCATGCAATTACGGAGCTTACATGGTCGAAGATTCTCTTAAGTGAGCTTGGGTTTGGTCCAAAATCTAAGAGTGATGTTATACATGCTATTCCTCAGTTTTACAAAATGATTATCACCCAATTTAATACTTAGGTTCAGGTTTTCCATTCTGACAACGGTGGTGAGTATGTGAATCAGTCTCTTACTGATTTCTTCAAACAACATGGCATCTTCCCCCGGACAACGTGTGCCTACACGCCACAACAAAATGGCATAGCAGAGCGTAAGAATCGTCATCTCTTAGAGGTGGCTCGTACCTTATGCTTTACTATGAATGTTCCTAAGCGTTTCTGGGCTGAGGCTATCATGACTGCTATTTTTCTTATTAACCGAATGCCTTCTCGTATAATTAAATATCAAACTCCATTAAGAATGCTATCCCGATTTCACTCTATTCCTTCTACACTTAATATTTGTCCTAAAGTTTTTGGTTGTGTGTGTTTTGTTCATATACATTCTCTTCATAGGGATAAGCTTGACCCTCGTGCTCTTAAGTGTGTCTTCCTTGGTTACTCTAGTTCACAAAAGGGCTATAAATGTTTTCATCCTCCTACAAGTAAATATTATGTGTCCATGGATGTTCAGTTTTGTGAAAGCGAGTCTTATTTTTCTGGGGATGTATCTCTGATTCCTCTTTAGGGGGAGATTAGTAGTAAGGAAGAGGAACGGTTATGGCTGGAAGAAAAGAGGTTGTGGATTTCAGGTAAGGAGGAGGATTCAGCTGTTATGAAAAAAGGAGAACCTTTAGATACTTTTGATCATGTGGAGACTGAGTTCGATGAAAAAATAGGTGAAAGACCAGCCTACTTGTTCAAAGAAGTATATGTGAGAAGGAACAAGGATGCCACTGTTATGCCGTCTCCTTCTAACTCTAGTACCCCTCTTGATGATATTACCATGCCATTGGAAAAATCTTCTATGATTAACTCTGAGGTACATGTTTCTTCTCCTTTAACTTCAACTTCAGATCATAGTTGTGAAAGGCGCCGGAGGCGCGCGCCTGAGGCGCAAGGCGCCTCCAGGCGCCATCTCAGCGCCTCTAGAACCTTAAGGCGCATAGGTTGCAGAAGGCGAGCGCCTTTTCTCTACAGGCGCAAGGCTAAAGGCGATATAAAGGCGCACCTGATGGAAGTTGTAATATTTTAACCGTTTTCTTTTGTAACTTTTGTTTGTTTATTGACTTTATTGATTTGTTTTATTATTTTATTGTTTCTATTTTATTACTTTTGTAACACATTGTTACCACATTAAAAAAACAAAAAACAAAAGAAGAACAAACACCAAAACAAAGTCGGAGACAGAGGTCACAGAGGCGACGACATAGACAACAGTTACTCTCGGTCTCGGATCTGTCATCTGTGTCGGATCTGCTGGATCTACGACGTCGGCGACACCACGACTCTGCCGGTACATTCTCTCTCTTCTTCTTCTCTCTCTTCTTCTTCTCTTCTTCTTCTCTCATCTTCCTTCTCTTCTTCTTCTCTCCTTCTCTTCTCGGATCTGTGATCTGTCTCAGTTTTTTTTTTTTTTTTTTTTTTTCTTTTCTTCTTCTTTTCTTCTCTCGACCGACCGTAGAGTCGAGTTTGGCAGTTTTTTTTTTTTTTTTTTTCTTCTTTTTTTTCTCTATTTTTTTATTTTATTTTTTTTCTTGAGTAGCTATTAAGGTACAGAGAAGAATTATAAAACCATCAGGAATTCTATATGTATATATATAGTTCTGATTTATAAATTTCAAGGTTAACAAGGTGAATGAAATTATTTGATAACTAAATCGAACCATATCATAATTCATAGCACTAAAGTATCAAGTTAGTTGTTGGTATATAATTGACATAAACAAGAAAGTTGGAACTTTAAAGAGGGAAGTAGATTGGTTAAACCTTTTTGTAAAGAACCTCGTCATTCAGTTACCCCAACAGATTGATTCTAACCTTTATTTTGGGCAAGTGACAATCATTTCATATGCCACTTTCTCAAAAGATCAAGAATTCAAAATGCGATTACCAATTACTCTGTTCAAAGAAACTTTTTACTTTTATAGATTAATTCATATATTAAGTTTTCTTTTATTTAGGAATTGATGACCAATTAAGATCACATGTTTTTTTTTTTTTTTTTTTTTTTTATGAAAAGAAATTGTTATATATGGATGGAATTGATGAAGGGGCCGGGGAGAGGAGAGTGGAGACTCTGGACTGTGACAAATTTATTATGTTGCTATTTTAATCTTAAAATAACAGTTGCTAAACTTGCTATTTTATTTTTTATTTATTTTTGGATTGTTGTAGCCTGTATGTGACAGATAGAATGTAATTCTTTTTCTTGGTTACGGGTTACCCAAAAAAAAAAAATTTATTGAAATCAGAAGGTATTTAATTGATTTTCTTGTAAAATTTGCAGAGGAATACAAAGCTTCTAATCTATACATAATTTACATAACACCAAAATACCAAATACAGAGAGATAGACTGATAGAGAGAAGAAGTTGTCCAGTTAACAACTAACACCAAATTGAAGTCAAATTTATTAACATCAAACTTAAGTTACTTAACACTGAAATACTGAATCCATAAAAATTAGCTCCAAACCGATCTATCAGCTCTCTCCACGTAGAGAGTGACTGTGAGTCTGTGACGGATATATTTCCCAATTTGAGCCAACACATTCTGCAGTTACTTTGCTTAATTACAATTACAGCCAAATTGTATGCCTGTATTTGTTCCATTGAATCATTCTAACATGTTAAAATGAAATAATTAGTGAAGTGTACTCTAAAGTCTAAATTATAAAAGACAATCGCAAATTGTAAATAGCAACTGTTTACTGTTATATTATTTTCATATAATATAATTAGGTTCTATTATTAAAAGTATGTTTAGTTGTTATAGTTATAGAATGAATGATGGTGCTTATAGTTATAGAAAATTAGATTGATTTGCAGCTTACATAATTTCTATTGAACTTGATTGTAGTTTGAACTTTAAAAGATGCCTAGTGAAGGTTCAAGAAAGGATCCGGCATGGAATTACTCACATTTGGAGAATCCGAAAGATACAAATGCTGTCACTTGTAACTTCTGTGCAAAAGTTACAAAAGGAGGTATTTATCGGGCTAAGCAACACTTAGCTGGAGGATATAGAAATGTGAGTGCATGCACAAGATGCCCATCTGGTGTTAGAGAAGAAATCAAAGAGTACATGAGTAAGAAAAAGGAAGAAAAAGAACAAATGAATTTGTTACCTAGTGATGAGATTAATTTCATTGATGGAGAGGATGAGGATGATGTCATGAAAGTTAGCAATCGGGGAAAAAGGGTAGCTAGTGCAGGCAGTGCTAGAGTCAATTCCTCAAAGATGCAAAAGCAAAAGGGACCGATTGATTTATATTTCACTCCCAGACTGGAAATTGTGGTACAAAAAAGAAAGGAGGGGGGAAAACAAACAGCCATTAATGATGCATGCAAGAAAGAGTTGAGAGGAAGAGCGTGTGCTGCTTTTGCAAGGTGGATGTATGATGCAGGAATTGCATTCAATGCTGTTAAGTATGATAGCTTTGCCGAGGTTGTTGAAGCAATTGGACAATATGGTCCTGGCATGAAACCACCTAGTTATCATGAGGTGAGAGTTCCTTTGCTTAGGAAGGAATTGGATAATACCAATGCTTTGATGAATGACCATAGGGAGGAGTGGTCAAAATTTGGATGCTCATTAATGGCAGATGGGTGGACAGACAAGAGAGGGAGAACATTGCTTAATTTCCTAGTAAATAGTCCAAGGGGAACCATGTTTATTGAGTCGATAGATACTTCTTCTTTTTCAAAGGATGGTGACAAGATGTTTAACTTACTTAATAAATTTGTGAACCGCATTGGAGTAGCAAATGTCATCCAAGTCGTCACAGATAGTGAGTCAAGCAATAAGTATGCCGGTAAGAATGTTCAATGTTTATAACTTTTAGAGTTTACATTCTTTACAAATATATAATTTAAATCAACTTTGATTTACTCATTCTCTTTATATCATTTTTTCTTTTTCCCGTTTGGTTTCAAATAGGGAGAATGTTAGAGAAAGAACACCCACATTTGTATTGGACCCCATGTGCTGCTCATTGCTTAGACTTGATGTTGGAAGACATTGGGAAAATACCGTCCATCTCTAGAACAATGCAAAGGGCAGTGGAGTTGAATAGTTATATTTATATACGACCAAAGTTGTTGAACATTATGAGGAACTTTACTCACAAAAAGGAGTTGCTTAGGCCTGCTAAGACTCGATTTGCTACATGTTTCATCACATTATCAAGTATTCACAAGCAAAAGAATAACTTGAGAAAGATGTTTACTTCAGAAGAATGGAATCGTAGTAAATGGGCGAAAGAGGAAGCCGGTAAAAGAGTTGCTTCTTATATTTTGATGCCTTCCTTTTGGAACAACATTGTCTTTAGCCTTAAGGTTTCCGGTCCTCTTATTCCGGTTTTGAGATTAGTTGATGGCGAGAGAAAGCCTCCCATGGGATACATTTATGCGGCTATGGATAAGGCTAAAGAAGCCATTGCAAAATCATTTGGGGGAGTAGAAGATAAATACTCAGATATTTTTGAAATAATTGATAAGAGGTGGAATGTTCAACTTCATCGCCCTTTGCATGCAGCAGGTTATTATTTGAACCCAGAATACTTTTATTCAAATTCGAAAATTGAAGAAGATGAAGAGATTGCAAAGGGTTTGTATGCATGCATTGCAAGGTTAGTCCTGGATGTCAAAGACCAAGACAAAATTACTGAGGAGCTGTCCTTATATTCTAAAGCTGAGGACCTCTTTGGTAATCCCTTTGCTATTAGACAGAGAAGTACACGAGGACCAGGTAAAGTGGTAAAGTATATTAAGTTAGTATAGCTAAGTGTTAAAATTATTTTGACAATAGAGTCGATAGAAAGATGAAGCTAAAGTTGCTAAACATCATTATTAATTTTTTTTTTAATAGCTAATTGGTGGGAAGCTTATGGCAAGTCAACAAAACTTCTCCAAAAGTTTGCTATAAAGGTTTTAAGCCTTACTTGTAGCTCTTCTGGTTGTGAACGAAATTGGAGCGTGTTTGAGCATGTAAGTATATACTATTTAGTATTTACTAACTAGGTTTGTAATTTAATTGTTGAAAATTAAAATTTTAATTTTTTATACGTACTAGTTAAAGTTGAATTTATTGCAGCTTCATAACAAGAAAAGAAATAGGCTCGCTCAAACAACGTTGAATGATTTAGTGTTCATCAAATATAATAGAGCATTGAGGCGTCGATATAATATGCGTGACACTCTTGATCCCATTTTACTCGATGACATTGATGAGAGCAACGAGTGGTTGACGGGGAGGATGGATGATTCTGATGCAGAACATGATCTAGTCTATGAAAATGATTCCTTGACATGGGGTGATGTTGCTAATTTTGCTGGTATTGGAGAGGCAAGCAGGCCGCAACGGTCTACTAGATCAAAATCTAGTTCTAGTTCACGGTTACCAACAAAGGGAGCAGGAAGTTCTTCAGTTCGACTTGTGGATGAGGATGAGGATGATTCAGATGAGATAGAAGAGGATCCTGAGAATTATGAATCATTTAGTGACGATCAAAATGATGTTATACTTATTGATGACGAGGATGATATTTAGATTCATTGGTGTTGTCTTCTTAGGAAGAATGATGTTTATGTTTGTTTTAGTTTTATCTTATACTTCTCCTTAGTTGACTTTTTCATCTTTATGTTAATATGTTTAATTATTCACTGTTTTGAACTCAAGTACTTGATTTACTTGGTTTTGGCATCTTTATGTTGAATATTTAACTTAAGTAATTCATTTAGTTGACTTTTACATCTTTCTATATACTATTGCATGATTTGCATCTTTAATACTTTATTGGGTGGGTTTTGTTTTTTTTTTTTTCCAACGTGCGCCTTGCTTCAGTCGGGCGCGCGCCTCGCCTTGCGCCTTGCGCCTCAGGCTCCAGGAGGCATTTGCGCTTTTATGCGCCTTGAGCCTTTAACAACTATGCTTCAGATATTAATTATAACCCTGTAACTTCTGTGGAGACTGCTGCCTTGAATCCACAGGTTGGTGATCAGGGTAGGAGGTATCCTTTTCGTGATCGTAAAGAACCTGATAGGTTGGGTTTTTCCAAATTTTCTTCTAATGTTGTCTATCCTATCTCTGATTTTGTTTCCTATCACCGTCTATCTAAGACTCACCTAGCTTTTGCCCTTCAGTTGTATTCTGTGTCTGTTCCTAGCCATTTTCAGGATGCCCTTGGAGATCCTAAGTGGAAGGCTGCTATGGTAGAGGAAATGAAGGCTCTCCAGAAGAACTCTACTTGGGAGTTAGTCGAGTTACCTCAAGAAAAGAAGACAGTGGGAAATAAGTGGGTGTTTACAATGAAGTATAAGTCAGATGGGACAGTTGAGGGCTACAAGGCTAGATTAGTTACCAAGGGATACACTCAGACTTACGGGATTGATTATCAAGAGACCTTCGCTCCTGTGATATACCCCTTTTTCTGTCTACCAGCAATATGCATCTCCAAGATCTGAGACCAAACACGATAATTAGCACCATCCAATTTAATAGGAATGGGAGAAGAAGTTTCGTGAATAGTCATCGTGGAGAACTTCTTGCTGTCAGATGAATTTTCAGTTAGAGAGGAAGAGTCAGTGGTTGTTTCGGCTGCCATGGATCGTGGCTAAGAGGTATTGAAGACAAGTAGCAGTAGCACAAAAAAGATTGCTGACGGCTGTTGCAGGTCTTTAGAAGTAAGGTTAAAATAGAAAAGAAAAGAAAAGAAAAGAAAGCAGCAGAAATTCCTTTCTTTTCTTTTCTTTTCAGCTTTAATACCAAATTGATAAATGGCAGAAAAAGTTATCTTTCTTTCATATATCTCAAGGGTATTTATACAGAATACACAGACCTATTCAAGGTAAGTCAACTATACAATTAATTTGAGAACTAATACACGCTAACTCCTAATAGATAACAGCAGTAACTCTTAATAGATAACAGCTGTACATTCAGCTCTAACTCTTAATAGATAACAGCTGTACATGCTAACTATATCATGGTATATGGATTATTTTGTGGACTTGTTTGTTGATTTTGGGAGATACTCGGGGGTTGTTACTTTGAGAATGCGAGGGCTTGGCGCTCGCGGATGAAACATGAGTTTTCCCACTTCATATTGGCCAATCGGTTAGCTTTTGGCGGACTAGTAATCCGAAAATGACTATTTTTATTTAGGCGCATAGTATGGCTATGTGACCGGGAGTGTGGGTGTGTTCTGAGTTATCTCATTAATTAATTTCAACTTTTATTTTCAAGTTAGCATTTATGTGTTATTGTAACTTGTGAATTTATGTACATTACACTATATTATTTATGCTTGTCTTGATGAATGAATTAATATTATTTATGCTAGACTAGGATGATCCTATTTAGGTTCCCCTTGAGACTAGATGTTAAGGAGCATGTTCCTTGTATTGTATGGCCATGCAATGTTTGTAAAATTTTGAGAAACCTAGTTTATATTCATAAGACATTCCTACGGAGCAATTTGTTGCTCACCCCGTTGATTCTTATATTTTTCAGGAAAGGGCATTGTCCAAGAGGAGGTTCCTCATCCCTAGCTTGATTAGGATCTTGATAATGTTTTTGAGCTACTTGTGACAATTGTGACATCCATTGTGTAACTTACTTTTGGACTTGTATTTTGACTCATGGTGTATTTGGATAATGTATTTGATGACACATGTTTGTAATATTCTGTTGGATGGAAAAATGACTTAGGAACTCACCCATCCATCTTTTGGAGTTGTTATGGAATTTCCTCTCTTATCTCAACTCATGTAATCCCATAACATTATTTCTCACCTTATGGTTTGTAATGAGGCTATGGAGGCCATAATTTCTACTTGGATTATATATGTACCCTTGCTATTTAATAACCTTGAAATTAAATTTTTAGACTTGTGGTGGAATTAAAACAATCACTGTATGATGTATGTAAATATGGGTGCACTTAATTAGACTAATGTAAATGATTTATTAGATATGAGTTTAATCACAAGTGGATCGTGATCGTGGCTTCCATGTATCTAAATTTAATACAGGTCCTTTAATTGAAGTCATGTACTGACTTGTCCCCATGAATATGTTTGGCCTGATATATATATATATATATATATATATATATATATAACATTTATATTCATACTATAATCATGATTATCATTTGCCATGCCCATGTATATTCAGGAAGGATTAGGCACTTTACTGGGCATTATTTTATGCCTTGTTTATTTTCCATTTATATTTAGGAATAAATTTTGGGGCTGGCAATGTTTTCCATACTGGCAGATCGTCCAACTCACCTAGCTTGTTGGCCATATGTGCCAATTTGTCATTTTAATTTCACACCCACTGTTTTGCAAACCTTCAAAAAAATTATTTTCCTTAAAATTTATTATTACTGTCATTATTATTATTGTTGTTGTTGTTGTTGTTGTTGTTGTTGTTGTTGCTGTTTATGTGCTGAATGACACCGGTTTTTCTCCGATTAATTATTTATTTTCTCAAGTGAATCTATTTATTTATTTTTTTATATATTTATTTTCCTTCCTTTTCTTCGCGACCTAAGTCGTGGAATTCAGGGTGTGACAACATGGTATCAGAGCGTCCGGGTTCGAAAACCTAAGGACGACAGGTTGGGTTTATTTCGTGTTCCATGTTTACATGATAATTATTGGTTACGTGCTTATATACTTAATTGTTTTATGACTTAGCATGATTTACATGTTTGTTCGCATTATCATGCATTGCGTTTCATACTTCCATTGAGTGAGTTGCATGGGATTGTGAGCACTTCCATTTAATTATTGACTTACATCTATATTCATCTATTTCCATTGTACTTATAGAACCATGCCACCTAGACGTGAGACTGGAGAGACTTCGCGTCCTAACCTTGGGGAGCATGTGAATGAAACACAACTTCTTAGGGATATAGTTCACCTCAGAAGGGATAGGAGCAGAGGCGTGGGTGTTGACCCACCACCTACTCCTTTTGATGGCGCACAGGTGATGATGGAGATAACACGTGGATTTACAGTGGCCATGGAGGAGATGGTTCGGAAAGTTACTGCAGGATTGAGGCCTCCAGAGCCGGTAGTGGCTAACTCGGCTATGGACTACCTTGTGACGTTTTAGAGCCTCAAGCTTGAGCCATTTGCAGGAGGTTTTGATCCACTAGTGTCAGAGTTTTGGCTTGACTAGGCGGTCAAAAAGCTTGACGGTATAGCGGTGCCCACAGATCGGTTGAGGATCTCTCTAGTATCCTTCTCATTCAAAGGTGATGCCGAGGTTTGGTGGAGATCTATCACCAACACCCATAATATTGAGACAATGACTTGGGAAGTCTTCCAGGGGCTCTTTTATGAAAAGTATTTCCCAAGGACCGCAATGAGGGAAATGAGGAAGAAGTTCGATGGCCTCTACCAAGGGAGTATGAGTGTCATGGAGTACGAGAACAAGTTTACGTCCCTCTCCGGCTATGCACCGGACTTAGTATGGACCGATGAGGACAGGGCCTTGAAGCTCCAGGATGGCCTACACCTTAACATTAGGCCATGTGTTTCAGTCTTGGATTTGAGGGTCTATTCTGAAGTGGTGAGGCGGGCATTGCTTGTGGAGGCAGAGGATAGGGACTCACAGCGGATTAGGAAGTCCAAGAAGCATTTCAAGGGTGAGGCTTCATCTTCAGGGAGTCAATGGAAGAAGTTTAGAGGAGGAGGGGGCAGTTCATACTCACAAGGGTCTCGGCAGTAGTCACGTCCTACACCCACAGTTCCCTTATCTTTGGGATCCACACTTGAGGTAGTCTGCCACCATTGTCATCAAACAGGACATATCAGGCCACGTTGCCCATAACTTCAGACATCTACCACACAATCTTTTGCTGCTTCGACCGGACTTCCGAATGCTTACTTTAGTTGTGGTCAGACGGGACATTTCAAAAGGGAGTGCCCACAGAGGGGGAATGGATCACGTGATGGTACGAGATCATAGTTCAGGCAGTCACAATCATCCGTGGTCCAGTCTGGATCCAGGGTTCTTCAGACACCATAGCTTGGAGCTTCAGATTAGGGCCCACGACCTACTAGAGGCTCTACACCCCGTATGTCTTCACAACAGTCAGGGTATCAGGGTGGTGGACAGCAAGGTTCAGGAGTACATGGTGATAAGCGCTGAATACTGTATATTCAAGCGCCCTAAATTGCATTAGTTAAGTCCGTCGTTTGTTTAATTAAGTAGATTATCTTCATTTGTGTGTATGTATATATTTTCAGGTCCATTTGCCAAAAAAGGAGCAAAATCAAGGCTTTGTGGAGTTTTGGCCATCAAAAGGCACAAGGCTGAATTTCTGGCAGCAGTGGAACCTGAACTTTGCTCGCCATTTTGACCTTGAAAACTTGGGAACTGGACTTCTCTCATAACATGAAAGATTTAGAGCTCTGAATCAGCTTTCCAAATCTTCAAACGGTTTGTCATTCGGAGCTCGGAGCAGAGAGTTATGGCCTTGTTACCAGAGGTGCGCAGAACTGCCTGGCAGCAATGCAATTCTGCCTTGATCTTCATTTTCGACCAACCATCCTTGAGAATTGGATCTCCACCAAAACATGAAGTATTTAAAGCTCTGAATT